CAAGTAAAAAAATTATTTTAAAATAAATGAAAGAATGCATGAAAATAAATAAATAAACAAATACATGAAGAAAGAAAGAAGAAATAAAGAAAGAAAGAAAGAAAAAAAGAAAGCAAGAAAGAAAAAACAAAAGAAAGAAACAAAAAGAAAAAAGCGAGATATGGACAACAGATGTTTGATGGGAAATAAGGAGCAAATCACACTAACACAGCTATCAACCATCCACAAACTGGGACAGGTGTTAAAAATAAAAAGCAAAATTTATATGTGAGGCAGCGGGGTGAAATCAGGCCCTCGTCAAAATAATGAAATTGGAGAAACAGGAATTTTCGCCGTTAGTTTGGACATTTTTATCCAATCTTTATTTTTTTTGGCTTACCCTCTTTTATTTCAATATAAAAAGATTTCTTTGTGAATTTTACTGAAAAACATTGATTAAAAGCACAAAATCTGTCACTTTTCAGTTTTCAAAGACCCTTTAGGAATTGGAGTTACCAAACTTGGCAGCCATTTTCTCACTAATTTCACCACTGAAACCAGGCAACCTCATATAATTAAAATGCAGATATTTTGAGTTCTATTCAAGATAAATAGATATCTATTTCACTGAAAGCAAGGCAAACTAATCAGCTTTCAGATGATACCAATAACTCCACATGCCCGAAGATTGATGAACGCTTGGTTCCATGAGATCTAGATCTATATATAGGCCCCAACATTGACGAGCGCCTGATTTCTCCATGATGACACAAAATAAACATGACACTTCTAAAGACAACATTTTCTAAAGACAAAAAATACATAAGTTGTCCAAATATCCCTTACTCAGAGTCCAGGTGGCCGTAAACCCTTGGCCTGGCGTCTGCTCGTCTGACCGGAATATGATCCAGGCACCGTGGACAGAAGTTACGTTGTCTGGCCCGTCACTTCCTGTCCAGCGGCCCATTAGTGTTCCGGAAGCATTGGGGGATCGGATCTCCACGTAGTCGCCGTTGTAACCACCGTTAGGCTCCAGAGAGAAGAACCTGACATAAAAAAAAATTAAAGGAAAAGGAAAATTAAAGAAAAAAATAATTAAAATAAAAAAATATTAAAAGAAAAAACAATTAAAGTAAAAAATAAAGAATATATACCATTTGTAGAGTGCAAATTACCACTCAATTGCAAGCTCTATGTGCTTTACTTTACAATCTATAAATATTATACCAGCAAATCAGATAGGTCCAGCGCCCATGACCTTATGCAGTTGCGAGCACCATAAAACTTTTACTAAAATTACTGATAGGCCCATTGGAAACATAACAAGACAGTCACTGCAGTGGAACCCACAGGAAGCATGAGGCAGAGGTAGGCCACGGGAAACATGAGGGAGATGTGTGGAAAGGGACATGAGAGAGATGAAGCTCTCTTGGAACGAGCTTGGAAGGATGGCTCAGGACAGAAATAAAAGGAAGGAGCTAGTATGTTACCTATACCCTGCCAGGGGTGAAAGACACTGATGATTGATGGTGATGAGACCTGATAGCTTTCTGAAAAAAATCTCAACTTCCTGGGAAGCATGCAGTGCAGGCTGCCATTTTTATAGGAGCTAAAATACTAACATACTGACCAGATCTTTTGCTGTTTATGACTGTGTACCCATTCCCACCTTGGCGAAAAGAGGGAAATTCGTGTAAAGTGTCTTTCCCAAGGACACAACGTTAGGCCTGAGGCTCGAACCCCGAACCCGCAACCTCGGGATTACGAGTCCGGTAGCCTAATCAAAAGACCACCATTACAACAAAGTTTATATTATTATAGACACAGCTATTGTCAAGCCACGGAAAAAATATTACTCTGTGAGAAATGAGGGTTAATGAAATAAAAGTAATGAAAGTTGTGTGAAGTATCCTAGTCGTCATATTAGATATTGGAGTTGTATTCACATGTTATGATGATAATAATAACAACAATAACAATGATAATAATAATAATAATAATGATAATAATAAAAACAACAACACCAACAACAACAACAATAATAATAATATAGTTATATAATAATAATAATAATAATAATAATAATAATAGTAATAATAATAATAATAATAATAATAAAAATAATAGTAATAACAAATGGCATTTACATAGCGCTCAACCCCGATAAAAGTACACAGGCTCTGGTCGTTCAACAATGCAACAGTATCATATGAATAGTACATTGTGTACGTGGTGGCGTGGTGGCCTAGTGGTTAGGCTCTCGGACTCGCAACCGTAAGGTCGTGGGATCGAATCCCGTCAGGGGCCCGATGTTGTGTCCTTAGGAAAGGCCCTTTACACGAATTTTCCTTACTTCACCCAGGTGGGAATGGGTACCCGGCTATGCTATAGACAGCGAAAGATCTTGTCAGGTTGTTAGTGTTTGAGCGTTTAATCAGCTGCTTGCACTGTATGCTTCCCAGGAAGCTGAGAATGTTTCGGAGTGTTCTATGGTCTGCCGGGGTAATAATATAGTGTAAAGCGCATAGAGCCTGCTGTTGAGCGGGGATATGCGCTATACAAATGCTATCTATTATTATTATTATTATTATTATTATTATTATTATTATTCTCAGCAACAGAAAATCCCTCTCTAAATGTGTCACGACGTGGTGGAATCAGGCACTCGTCCATTTTTGGGTATATAGAGTTACTGGTATCATCTTGAAGGGTTAGTTCTTTTGCCTTGTATTTTATGAAAAAAAAATATCCATTTATCTTAAATAGATGTCCAGAAATTTGCGGTTGAAGGAGGTGGGGTCACCTGATTTAAGAAGTAAAATTAACGAGAAAATGGACGCCAAAGCTGGTAAATTCCAAAGCCGGAGAGTCCGTAGAAACTGTAAATTTATATTTTTGTGCCTTTAATCAACGTTTTCGGTGAAATCCTCAAAGGAATGTGTTTGTAAATGGACATAAAAGGTGTTGAGCCAAAAGACAAAAATTTGATAAAAATTGCTAAACAGGGAGAAAACTGCTGTTTTCTTCGATTTCATTATTTTGACGAGAGCCTGACTCCACCACGCTGCCTCACATATGAAGTTATTGGTATCATCTTAAGGGTTGTTTTTTTGCTTTGCATTTAATGAAAACCCCCCCCCCCCCATTTATCTGAAATAGATGTCCAGAAATGTGCTGTTGAAGGGGGTGTGGGTTGCCAGGTTTCAGAAGTAAAATTAATGACAAAATGGCTGCCAAAGTTTGGTGACTTCCATAGCTTAAGAGCACTTGGAAACTGCAAATTTACATTTTTTGGTGCCTTCATTGAACGTCTAAAAAAAAAATCCACACATGAGAATGTTTTTGAATGGCCATACAAGGTGTTGAGCCAAAAAACAAAAATTCGAAATAAAATTCCAAAACTGGCTGAAAAATGCAGATTTCTTCGATTTCCTTATTTTGACAAGCACCTGATTTCACCACGATTCCTAACAAATATTTATCTCAATAATTTAAAAACAGAAATGAGTTTAGTTGACATATGAATGAATTAAAGAATTAGATCTCTTTTAACACTTTGCAGTCACACAGCCAGCAGTACAAAATACCCCATCTGGTCATCCAGCCAGGAGACTTGACTGCAACAGACTTCTCGGGCCTGGGCACAGTTCTGCTCCAGTTTCTTCGATTTCCTTATTTTGACCGGAACGGATAATTTTCCCTGTCGCATTATTGCGCCAAGTGACTGCAAAGAGTCAAACTACTGGGAAAGCATTCCATTCTAGATAACAATATGTGTCACAACGCGGTGGAATCAGGCGTTTGTCAATTTTTGGGAATGTTGATTTATTGATATCATCTGAAAACTGATTCATTTGCCTTGCTTCCAATGAAATAAATATCCATTTATCTTGAATAGAACTCAAAATATTTCAGGATTTAAGGAAGCGAGGTCACCTGGTTTCAGTGGTGAAATTAGCGAGAAAATGGCCGCCAAAGATCGGTAACTCCAATAGCTAAAGAGTCTTAGAAAACTGAATAAGGACACGTTTGGTGCCTTTATTCAATGTTTTTCAGCAAAATTCACGTGGAAATGTGTTTTAATATTGACCTAAAAGAGGTTAAGCCTAAAAATACAAATTCGATAAAAATTTCCAAACTGACAGAAAAGTGCCTGTTTCTCGGGTTTCGTTATTTTGACGAGCGCCTGTTTTCACTTTCACCACGCCGCCTCACATGTAAATGTTTTTTACTCACGGGAAGGAGAGAGAGACAGAGTTCCCTGGTGAAGTTCTGATCTGCCAGACACACTCCACGCTCATCGGGTAACTGTTTGGGTAGCTGGGGCTGATGAAGCTGCCAGACGGGGCGATGAACTCCCCACCACATGCTGAGGAGGGTGGGAGGGGTAG